CATGGCCTCCACCAATAGCACGGCTCTGTTTCTAATGAGTAAATGAGAAATGTGCCCTTGCTGGAGGATGGTATGTGCCAGGGCAGCAGAGGTTACAGTAGGTTTTCATTATATGTAATTGAAAGCATAATGGAGGCCGGCCACCTTTACCTGCACTGCTCATAAAAGCTCATTCTGTAATGACCATGAAATATGGACTTTTACATGTGGGCAGGGCTTATGCCTTCCATCCTTTCTGATAGGCTCTTGTCGGTTTGGCAGCGACTTTGCTTCTAATCTGGAAAGGGGTCTCTCTCTCTCTCTCTCTCTCTCTCTCTCTCTCTGTCTCTCTCTCACACACACACACACACACACTATTTATAGCCCAGACAGAATGCGTAAACTGGATACAGAATGAGGCCCTGTCACAATAATATGACCCATACACACTCACTATGCCCCTCAGCGTGGAGTGTTGCTAATGCCCACTTTTCAAGAGGATGATTCGCTTAATGCCAGCTTTTCATTTGAGTGATAATCTCAGAGGGGCTGTGAAATAACTATCAACTGTGTGTGTGTGTGTGTGTGTGTGTGTGTGTTCCAGAACGTGTAGTATTTTTGTTGAGGGTGCAATTAGGTCTGTTTCTGCTTGTGTTAAATTAGGAATCCTAGAAATGAGGGAGTACAAACATATCCAGTATATTGATTGGAGATCAGAATTAGTATTAGCAGTAGTAATTCAGATTGTTATTATTATTATTGTTATTATTCTGTCAATAATAGTAATTCAGATCATTAGTAGTCATTTTATTGTTTTTATTGTTGTTGTTAATATTCTTAATTTGATTTTATTGTTTATTATTATTATTGTTATTGTTATTATTATTATTAAACACGGTGTACCTCAGAGAATATTTTTTTCTTTGTTCTTCAGCCAAATGTTTCCGCTTGTGCTCAGTGATGAATCCTAGAAATGTGGGAGTGGGAGTACAAACATATCCAGTATTTTGATTGGAGATCAGAATTATTATTATTATTAGTAGTAGTAGTAGTAGTAGTAGTAATTCAGGTTTTTATTATTATTATTATTATTATTAAACACAGCGTATCTCGCAATTTTTTTCTTTAGCCAAATAGTTTACATTGTTTTATACATTAGCATGTCAACTTGAAACAATGTTTGATATGTTTGTTTGATACATATTTTTAACCTGGATACATTTTCTGTGACACAAAATTAATTTAATGTGGATTTCTCAATAAATTACAATGTCTATACTCTGTGTAAATTAACAATGGGTACTCTTCCTTTATCAGTAAAAATCGTGCTGGATTATGCCAAACACCTCACTATGCATTATTCAGTGCACTTTTGACATCTCCAGAGATCACGTGAAAACTACAGATAGTGGCCAAATTTAAAATTGCATTACCGGTGTTGCCACAGCCTTTTTTTCTGTTTTCTCTAGTCACATAGCATGGATTTCAAACTTTTTTGAGTGTGTTTCTACTGCATAGACAGCCAAGGTTTATTAAAAGCCCATCTTGTCAGGCAGAGACACATGACCTGGAGAGAAGAATGACGAGTGTGCTAATCAGCTCCAGCTGCATCCATGCTACGATTAAAGCGCAAACAAGAAACCTAACTCTTAAAGAGTGTATATCAGAGTAAGTTACGCCCTCTGTCCCGTTTACCCCCTCTTTCCCCCATAATGAGGGCACAAATTGGGTCCACTCTCTCATTGACATTTACACTGGCACAGTGGTCTGATGAAGGGCTCTTTATGTGCTTCTGATGATCAGTTGACTCCCCCTCGGTGCCCGCATGTTCTCTTTCACTCAGTCGTGTTCTTCACTGAGTGAGTCTAATGTGTAAGCATGTGCTGGTTACCCACAGCAAACAGCGTTCTAGGATCTAGAAATGTCTGTGCCACGCTGGACTGGTGTTTACTGCCGAAAACCAGCCTGTTTGATAATGTTCTGCTGGAGCCTGCCGCAGGGGCCCCACAACACATCAGTCACAATGCAGGCTTTTTTCTTGCAATTAAAATGTTTTTCTCTCAGAATTAAGCTTACATCTAGGAATTCTGAGTCTTTTCTCTGAATTCTGAGCTTACATCTTGCAGTTCAGTTTGTTTCACAATGGAATAAAAAAGTTAAAAAGCTAATTGTGACTTCTTTATATCTCACAATTCTGACTCATCTTCTCAGAATTGTTTATATCTTGCTTTTCTGACAGTTCTCAGAATTGCAAGAAAAAAGTCTGAATTTATGAGGTATAAACTCAGAATTACAAGGAAAAAAGTCTTGAGTTCTGGGGGAAAAAGTCACAATTACTTTTTTACTTTTTAAAATTGTTTTATTCTGTTTTGGAAACAAGCTGAAATAGTAATGTATGCATGTAAGAAGCCGCTGTTTTTTTATTACTGCTTATATTTAATAACTATAGTTTATAATCTATCATTTTCTATAGACTTAATAAGACAAATATTCTTATACTTTGGTTTGCATCCATCAAATAAAAGCCAAATAAATTCTAAATAAGAAAGAAAATGAATTATAATGAAAATGAAATATGAATAATACTATGAATTAAATACTTTACAAATGACTGGTAATTCATAAAATTATAGAATTAAATGAATTGATTACATTTTACTGTAAATACAATACAAATGAATAGTATTATATAATTACAATTTGTATAATAAGTATATTATTTAAGTGTTTACCTTATTGGATTTTAATATTAAATATTTTACAAATAAATAGTAGTTCATATAATTCTATAATTCAATATTTTAATTCATTGGATTTTACTGTAAAAAAATACTTCACAAATGTATTAGCACTTACTTTAATAATATAATTAATTATATGAAGTGCTATTCATTTGTGAAGTATTTTATTTACAGTAAAATCCAGTAAATTAAGTATTTTAATCATATAATTTAATTTACTGGATTTTACCAATTTACTAATTATCTATATTTACAGATTTTTTTAGATAGATAGATAGACGGACAGACGGACGGATGGACTGTGATGTAAAAGAAATACGATTCTGATCACACTGTCTGCCCCTAGTGTGTGACATCATTATTTATTCTGCGCTTAAGGCCGAGAGCACAGTTTCCAGCTGAAGCGTATCATTGCTGGCTCTCTCCCTCACATGCAGATTCACAAACAAACACACGCCACCTGCGCTCCACACCAGTGCATTTCCCCGGTCCAGGTGTGGGCCCTACTTCTGATTACTCCAGCACCGCGCGGCATCATTTAAGCGCTGTTTATTTGCGCATGCCCATGTGCGAGCGACTTTTGGCTCTGCCACACTGTGTGCCTGTGCTATCTGCTGGGCACACGAGGAAAAGCAGAGTCACCGTCTCTTCCCTGGCACGCTTCTTTCTCTTTGAGCCAGTAGAACAGGATTTACGAGCACCTGTCACAGGGGTATGTGCCTCCTCTCCTCCCCCACCAGCGCAAATCATCAGGGGGAATGTGGCCACCCAGTCCCTGCTATCGCTTTAGCACCGTACAGTGTGCGTGTTTGAGATCTTCTGTGTATACACACCAGATAATAACTGAAAAATTATGGACACCACCATTCTGCATCTGATGTATGTTTAAAACACTGCATATATCTCAGCGGTTATGAGTCCCTGCTGTCCGGGACTGTGTATGAGATGGACAAAGTTTAACAACATGTAACATCCACAACATATACAATACAAATCATGCTGAGAATAACTCTCCACAAGGTGCCAAAACACAATCTTTGGCCGTTATGTCCACAAATATTTTATTATGTACTTGGAAAAGAAAAAAAGCACTTTTTACCCCACTGGATCCTTCACTTTATTCATCTAATAAAGAGCATAAGCATAAAACATGGTTTTATTTTTCCCAAAACTGATAGCACTGTATCTCTGCATTTTCAAGCAGATTGTTTTGAGCAGTGTGTGAATTATACAGTCATTTTTAGGGAGGTTGACATTTCCACAGGAAATGTTCAGGCTGCACAGGTAACTAAACATCAACTCATATTAAAGATATTTGTAACAACATTTTTGTGGTATATTTGTAATATGCAAGTCTTTTTCAAGTCGTAATGACAGTTTTTGTTAATATTCCATCCAATAATTATCCTAATGAAAAATACTCAGGAACCTGAGTGATCTGTTGATGATTACTACTTCAGACAAAGACAATATATGTTTGTGAGTATTTATTGACTGCAAAAAAATGTTTGTTTAATGTAAAAGAAGTATCTTATTCTCAAGTCTGCATTTATTCCAATGCATTAAAAAAAACAGTAATATTGGAACATTTTCAGTGGCACATGATCCTTCAGAATCATTCTAATATGCTGATTTGTTGCTCAAGAAACATTTATTATTATTATAAATGTTGAAAACAGTTGTGTTGCTTAATATTTTTGTAGAAACTGTTATATTTGTCATGACTCCAGAACAGAAATGATTAATAGAAAGTTAAAAGAAAATCTTTTGTAATAATGTAAAAGTATTTACTGTCACTTTTGATCATTTAATGCAGCCTTATGGAATAAAAAGTTTTTAAAAAATAAATAAATAATTCTTACTGTCTCCAAGCTGTCATGTGTCTTTCTATTTTATAATTTACTTTAAAAATGCCATCTTATAATTTACTTTAAATGAACCAGAACCATTTTCCCATTATTCTAAAAGCTGAAACATTGTTTACAAGTTCAGATGATTATGAATCATCTTAAATTGTAAACATTTCATTTATATTGAAAAGAATTCAACACCTTCAGGTAACTAGTGAGATCTTGAAATTAACACACTTTTTACAGCAGTACAGTGAATCATTTAAAATCTTTAATGACTTCAAGCACTGCGGTGATCCTGCCTAATAGTGTGAGTCTTGTTTAATGTTGGTATTTGCTTCATCTTTCTCTCTCTCTCTCTCTCTCTGTGTGTGTGTGTGTGTGTGTGTGTGTGTGTGTGTGTGTGTGTGTGTGTGTGATTTGAATGCAGCAGAGCTCCAGAGGGAGGGAAGCATCGAGACGCTCAGCAATAGTTCTGGCTCCACCAGTGGCAGCATTCCCCGAAACTTCGAGGGCTACCGGTCCCCTCTCCCCACCAATGAGAGCCAGCCCCTCAGCCTCTACCCCACCGCCTTCCCCTAAAACCAGCCGTCCTGCCCCAAGGAAAACTTCTCTGTCGCCTTTGGACAATCTTGACAGTACAACCACAACACATCAACACAACTCCATCCTTCTCCGCTATATCTTTTCTCTGTTCTTTTTCCTTTAATCAAACCTGGCATGCAGGAAAACCCTGTTCAATCAGGCCTTGCGTTACCATCCTTTGTCATTCACTTCTCTTGTAGATTAATGTTAACATTGCCTCCACCTGAGAGAGAGAAAGAGTGTGCATGGATATTAACCTTGACGGGTCAGATGAACTGTAAAATGGATCTGTTGGAGTTGCCACTTTTCTCAAAGATGTGTCATATTACCAATATCATTATTGATCGAACTTCCAGTGTGCATCTTTATTGAATGCGTGCATGTGTGTGTGAGTGAGAGTGTGTGCTCATCAAATACGTGTCCTGATTAGTTCTCGGTAGTTGAGTTTAGGTTTGAGCTCACAAAGCGCTATGCTGGTTTCCGATCACACATCAGTAGACAGTGTTTGATATATTTTAGTAGACATGTACTGTAGTTCACATTTGAATTGATTTGACTTTTATAGGTAATCAAACATGGTCATGTTTACAATTGAATCTTGTTACATTATAGTGTTTATGATTCTGCACATTTTTCTGTATATTTGATTTAATTTTTAAGTTTTTAACAAGAGTCAGTTTCTTAGATTCCATTTTATTTGCTTTATGAAGTCAGTGGATTCAAATGATTTAAATTCCTTTAAATGTATGCGTAAATGACATGTATTGATTCTTTCAAAAAGGGAGTTTTGTGTTCTAATGTTTCCTTGTTTGATTCGCTTTTTTCCCTTGTTTTATAGGCTGATATTTAGCAGTGGCGCTCTCAGTGATCCACAGCAAACTTCATTCAGCTCAGGCGATTGATTTTGACACTACCCAAATGTTAAAAAAGTAGTTCCATCATTATCATTATCGTCATCAATATATTGTATTAGCTTGTTTATTGAACTATTTTAAATGGCTTTGTTTGAAGAATGTCTTTTAGCTTTGCTTGACTGGATGTAACGTTTTACACACACACACACACACACAACACAGTTATTGATAAATACCAATTAAACAAGAAATGTGAATACATGGTCCTAATCATCAGCTTGTCAAAAAGTTTAAAGGGCCCGCTGTTGGCTGGCAGCTCTGTGCATGTTGAAAGCCTCAGTAGCTGGAGAGGAAACATGAAGAGTTTATTCACCGTAATTTATAACGCCATTCAAGTTGGCATGACTTTATGTCTGAATGCAGTGCACATGCTTTGTATGGACTATATTTTTTGTAATACAATACTTACGCAATGTGATCTTGAAATAGGAATTTATGCAAGTGAATTTAACAAGTCTTCTATACATTTGTGTGTTTGCTTAATACTGCATATGCATTCTGACTTCCTTAGTTTGTTGTTTTCCCTTGTTACCTTACCTTGCTCTCTCCTGAATATACTTGTTATACAAAAAAATAAATAAATGCATTTGAGTGACGAGGTAAAAATCTGGGCCTGAGGCTACAAATCTCAATCACTGCCTTTGTTTAGGGAACTGTTTTTTATCATCATGAATCTTCCACAAGCTTCAGGACACAGGCTGAGATTTCTTCCATCGCTGCTTTAATTGCATGTGTGTAAGTTTGTGTTATGATATTATAATGAAAGGTTTATTTGCAATTATAGTGAGCAGCGGAGTTTTCCAGCACAACTTCACCAGGAATTTATCAACTCTAAAAATGTTCTCTTAAAATATGGAACGTGTGAAATTAATAGTTTAAACATCACTGAGTAATTATATTTAACTTTGCTATCAAATTGGTAACAATATATAATAACCGGTAACTGTCATTTTTTTAATTAAAAAAAAAATTCTTATGCAAATTGACCTGATGCAGTAGACAGATAGTATCAAAAAAGCCACTGTTTTGTCATCATAGTGATATTTATTGTACTGAGTCAAACAAGCAGATATATTTTTTATGCAAAGCAAAAGGGTTTTTCACTTTTCCATCCTCGCCAGCATTTTCAGGCATTTTCTCATCAAAAAAAAACACACGCACACAATCACCCTTATACAGTAATGCTTCCCACAGTGTCTCAAAGGCGGCGTGAAGCAGTCGGTGTGGAGGCCAGTGGCAGAGCTCTCACTCTCCATCTGGGAAGGTCAGCCCTCGTTCATCTCTGTCTCCCTCCAGACCACCAGTGCCACCTTATCACCAGAGCGACAGCCTATAAATACCAACAGAAGATAGCAAGCATTTCAGTGAGGAGTGTCAGAGGTTTCCACCTCTCTGCAGGGTCAGAAGGCTGCTGTGCAAATTTGTACATTTAGTTAAAGAAGCATTAGTCTATAAACAGTCTGCCGTTTAGTCGCTGTGGCACTGATACACAATCTACCACGAGTCAATCTGTCAAGGCCTGTTGGCAATCCATGTAAGATGTTGTGGCTGTTTGTTCCAAAACACTCCTCGAATCCTCCACACTCCATGTATCCCAATGGGAACGGACTCCATTCAGTAACAGGCTGTTTTCTGGCACGGCTGCTGGTCTCTCCCCCCTTCGGAGGTCATGCATCCCTTGCCTACTAACTGAACTAATGGCTGCTCCTCTTGAACCATAAACAGAAAACATAAGATGTCTTTAAAGGGGGGAACATTAGAGAACAAGAACCTCAACCACCTTAGAATAAAGTATATTAGAGTATTTTACTGTTTCTTGTAGGTATTTTTTCTTAACACCTTATCAAAAAATCCAGTAACTTGCAAATCCAGTAAGCTGCATGAAGATGTGCAAATAAAAGCTTGTACTTTGTAGTAGCTTTGCTGATTTTATTTGTATTATGCATGTTTTTAGAGTTTAGTGGACGTTTTTATTAAAAATAAAAAAGACCTCAACCTTGTCAACCTTTTGTACAAACCTGATATGTATACAAATATCTTTTATTCAATAAACAGGGCTTATCTTAAACACCTTGTAGTGTCATAAACTTAAACACAAGGCTTGTAATATTAAATTAAATTGTAAAACTGTCAACCCTGTTACCCTTTTGTTTTTGAAAAGGCTATAGCCTATACCTATATCCCGACATGTTATTTACATTGCACAATCCCACTCATTATCACACTCTTTGTCTGAAATGAAAGTTGAAGAATTTCACTTTACAAGTGCTTTTGTGAAAATGAAAAAATAAAAAATGATGCAGATGATTCGCGCGGTTCGAGTGAGCTATTGTTCTCCACATAATTGATTTGCTGTATTCTACATAGGCCTATATAACATATTTACATACACGGGGGAAACTACGTGTTTACAGCGGCTGGGTGATTAGAGGTTGTCTGTTGCCGTCCAGTAAACCGTAAACAGTATAATTTTGTTATCGCTTCGTGTTGTAATAGCCTGTTACTTGTCAATCAGACGAGGCGTGTAAAGCACTCATCTCCACAACTGTTTGAGAGACAGTAAACTGGATCATATCTGACAGCTCCTGGAGGATTAAAGGGGACAGTGTTGACATTAATGTGTGACATACACTATTTTTCAATTAGCTGCTGAATAGCCTCGATTAGATCACCTTATCTTCAGGATCCCCTCACCACACCTGGACGCGCATCTCATCAGCGTCCTGATCGGACTGTTTGTCATCGCTAACAGATACAGTGAGAACAATCTTCCTTTATCTTCAAGTCAGTCCTCATTGAATTGATTGTGAAAGGGTAGATGTTTTATATTATTGATGTTACAACTTAGTCTAAAACTCCACAGTCTTCGTACTGCTGTTTTAAAACAACAGGACAACTGCACATGTGCCACAATAAGTAAGAAATGAAAAATAAATGAACAATTATTTAACGAATGATAAGTCTAATTATATGTATACAAACACACGATACAATACAATAGAAATTAGTTCATTGTTCATTAATGATTTTCCTAATCACTGATTGTTGCAAGTTGAGTGGAAACAAAGGTGTTTTAACATAATGATGAAAAACGTTTAGTAATAAACCTTGTTAGTGTATCATTACATTAGATGTGACGGAAATATAAAATTTTATTTAACCACAAATAACTTTAAAATGTACAAAGGGGTAAAGCACTTGTCACACACGATACAATACAATAGAAATTAGTTCATTGTTCATTAATGATTTTCCTAATCACTGATTGTTGCAAGTTGAGTGGAAACAAAGGTGTTTTAACATAATGTTGAAAAACGTTTAGTAATAAACCTTGTTAGTGTATCATTACATTAGATGTGACGGAAATATAAAATTTTATTTAACCACAAATAACTTTAAAATGTACAAAGGGGTAAAGCACTTGTTGCGTATAAAGCATGAGGCTTCATCGCTGAAGGGGAACTGATGCGCTCAGTCAGCATCACACAACACAAACGCTCAGGGGACCGAGAAAGTCCTGTGTGTGTGTGTGTGTGTGTGTGTGTGTGTCATCACAGGAAACAAATAAATTACTGATTTAATTACTAATGCAGTGTGATATTTACATGTGTAACCTTGCTGTTCACATCAGATTCTAATATATGTTAAATGGGTTAGTTCTTGTGATTATAACATTTCTCAAATGTTTTGGGTTACATAATCTATGGCTGTATCAACAGGTTATTGCTACTACGACTAAAGCGTGAAACAGAGCCTGTTATTATTTTCAACTGGTACGGGATGTAATGTTTGCAAAATAAAATTATCAATGTGTATAAGCTACTTAACATTATTTAGTATAAAATAACCGAGCTAAGCGCTCAGTGTGCTAAACCCATGCTTGAAAAAAATTTAAATTGAGAGAAAAGACCATGATTTCCATTTTAGACAACATTTTATGGTTTGCTTTTGTCTCTAATGATGACACTACACGGCACTGAACGGGCTGCAGAACCAGGTTAACTTACTCCCTGAGGTCATTAGAGCGCCCCCACCTGTTACCTGAAAAAGGTGTAGCTTCTAATAATCATCAGCCGTGCTTCGCCTAAATCAATTTAAGCGTCTTTAAAAAAAAAAAAGATTTTGTCATTTTGAGTGGATTCTGGAAGTTCCGAATTATTAAAGCATTGTGGGGGAAATACTGAAGGATTTCCTAATACTACTGAATATTTAATAAAACATTGCAAGAATGATTGACCATTCCCACCAAGAAAACAAAAAATGTATAAAATATCTTGATTTTGTTTTTGCGGCGATTGTTGCTTGATCACTGATGCAGGTGCATATTTATGTAGGCTACTCGAATCTTCCTTGTTTCCCTAAATGTCTAAAACCAGGGAACCTGTCAGGATCTCTACAAACTATGTCTTTATCACTATTATTAAATTACTAAAAAGATAAGCGAGACTCGCTTTCAAAAAATACAACATAATTATATAAATATGAAGCAATATTTTTTCAGTATTAGGCTACTGTTTCAAAAAGTTAAAACCTAATGTTGATCCGTATATCTCTAATATGAGTTTGGTTTGGGTTGGTTTTTGGTTCTCATTCATAGAAATAATGTTTTGTTGTAAATCTATTCAAATCAACAGGTTTATGTGAGGATTGGGATGGGGTTAGCAATAGTATCACCTCGGAATAAAGACTATCTGAGATCTGAATATAGCCTAGTGAAAGCAACATGCTATACGTGTTTTATAGTTTTAAGGAATGGGCGTTTAGATTTGTGGAGTATACGATTGCCAATATACCTTTGGGCAAAAGGAGAGTGGGAGAGAAGAAGCAGAGCACCAGAGCTGTCTATAAAATTGTTGTTGCGCATCCATCAGGTACAGTATGTCCACGTCCAGAGGAGCTTCTGCTGACTCGGTTGGGTGGGTGATACAAAATGGGCTACTATGCGAAAAGCAAATTGTACGATTTGGCAAAATAAGCACGAGCAGATCAAATACACTGTCCTAATGAAAAAGAGGAGACATGGGGAAATGTATACAGGGTGTGCGTGGTAGTAAGAACGGAGGAGAGAGGGGGCTGCTATAGCTGGTGGAGGCGCTGGGTATGACATGTGACAAGGGGAAATATGAAGGACTTTGACAGGTCTTAAACGGTCTGGCGCCAAGGCCTCAGTCTACTGCCTAAATATAGCAGGAGAGATGATGCAGAGAGATGATGAAAAGATGAAAAGAAGGAGCAACCATGTAAAAGCTGAAAAAAAGAGCAACGGTCATTTAATGATCAGCCCTAGAGGCTCATCTGGTTTCATATATGTGAAAGGTATTGCAAAGGTTTGCGTTATCTTTTTGCAGGAACATATTAATTTCCTTAGAACCTGGAAACACAATTAGACACATTGTCTTACAGCGGACACCGTCTCAAGGACACAAAAGCTGACAGAAGCAGATCATGCATAAAAGTTTGGCACCAGGCTATTTTTAACTAATGAAATGTGCTCTGGTCGAAGCTGATGCACATATACACTTCTCTACATCCCCTGACAAACTTTTAACGATGTTTTTTCATCATCACAATTATTCGGAATACAAGTGGTCATTGGTTTTCCGACGCCTCGTTGTTTTGCCAGTAAACAGTGGCAGTGCTCTGAAAAGTTTTCCAGCATGAACGCTTTTTAAATCATGTGTGATAAGAGCTCAGCGCATGATTACATTCTTGTCGGTTTAGATGTGTACAGCAGGAAAAATAAATCTGGCGTAATTGCAGAGACTTTGTTGATGTGATTACTTCCTTAAGTATATACATAGAAAACCATTCCCAGTCACATGTGTGGTTAATCTCTTCCCAATCCAAATCACTCTCTGTCGAAGTTTTAGCCCAGAGATCAAATACGACTATTGATTAGTCCAGTTTTAACAACGTGCTGCAGGTAACACTTTACATGCAAAAATATGTATATTTTTCATAAACGATCTTTAATATCTACATCAAATGCACTAGATAGACCTGTTGAATAAAAGTGGAAACGGTATTTTCAGTGTCAGGAAAAAAGTGTAATCACTAAACCAGGAAGTAGGTACATTGATCATAAATTGGCAGTTTCTCCTCTAGAATGTGATGACGTTCGTATAATTAATTACATTTTATTTAAAGTTAACACTTAATATTCTAAATGACTATAAAACTGAGAGTTTTGTGCTTATTTTACTCTCATCAGACATTTGAGATCATGTATTTTAGCATGGCTCTTAATTTTAGCTTGAAATAGCCTAATGGAGATTTTACATCAGGAGACACTACTTACTTTCTTGTTTGTCATTTCGTTTGGCTATATTTAAATATACTTCATCATAAAAGCAGAAAAACGTTTTATTGTTATATTGTCATACAATAAATTTGGAACATGTTTCGTTCGTAATAGTATTGATTTATTTTCATTCTGTATCATGTTTATTTGGTAGGCTATTATTTTGACGACTTTTAAAAGAAAACCGTATCCTATTTAAATAATTAACATACCTGTCTGGTAAAGGCGTGCATATCCCATATTTTAGTGTCAGTTTCAATAAATCCCGCTTTAGCTCTGTGTGTGTTCACTCGTGGCTTCGGCAACAAGTGTCTGCCTACTTTGTCTCTGCTTTCTCCGTTTACGGCGCGGATTTAGCTATTCTTGTGCAATGTTATGGTGTGAATGTGTAATTTAACTTGTCAACAGACAGTCATGAATTTGCCAAACATATTATGCTTGATTAATATTTAATGTTCAATTCGAAAACGCGCAATAAAATTATTTTTACAAAGACCGTTTAGCTGTTTTAATGACATTATGACATAATGCGCTCTAGTAATGAGACCTATGCTCTCTAAACCATTTTATGTCCAATTCAGTAAATATAACAAATCGTGCAACTAAAAAAGCCTATATTAAACGTACTCGCTGCCTTTTAAAAAGAACAGCTGCAAACGAATCAAGTTTCTGGCCAGCTGTTGACAAAAAAAATGTTTTACTTTGTAACTTTTCAGTAGTATTTTATAAGCAACATTTAATCACTCTATCAGGTCCTCTCTGGCACAGTAAGGGTTAAACATACAGCCTGTCATCATGTTCTGCTGATTTGTATCGAAGTGTAAAAGTGACAACATTCCGCAGCCGGTTGAATCCATCCGCACAAAAACATAGATTGGACATTGATGCGTTTTGGAAATATTGGAACTATTCAGTGCGACATCTGATCGAAAAGTATACACTGAAATACTAACCTATAATGATCACAAGTCATTTGGAGACAAAGAAGGCAAGCGCAAGCCAAAACTTTGGCGTAAATGCTAAAAGGATTGGAGTGCACTGTTAGAGGATTTTGGAGTAAATATGAACTGACAAGAGACGGTTCTTACTGCTGTACGTCAGCCGACTGGCGCCAAGCGGCTATCTAACAAACCCAATCCAAGTAAATCTAGAGTCCACGAGTGGATTTCTTAAAGGTATAGACTACACTTATGGCACGACCCACTGCTAAAGCTACAGGTCGAAAATAGATGGTGAACATTTAGTGGCGTGGCACTTAAACCTAAATGCATTGAGATGTAGCCTATGTTATTTTTCCGAGAATAGAACGGAACATATAGCTACTTTTATCCGCTCACCTTAACATTCAGCGTTAGGATCAATAAAATACATTTAAATTCATGAATGCAATACCTTTACATTCCCTTAACAGTTGTCTTTGTATATTGCGACATAAATGGAATAAATAAAAAAGTAATATTAAAAGTTAACCGCAGATGCCTGTTAAGAGTTAACAGTTAAGAGTAATTCAGCACTCACCAAAATTATCTTTACATTGGTCTTTAGATTCCATCAACTCTCTTCCTCTTTCTTCAGTAGGTGTAGCGCCTGGCTGTGCGCTTTGAATGGCCCGGGGCAGAATTTGAAGTACCAATGTCTCATTATTGGCTGCTGTTCCTCACATGAAGTCTGTCGCGACACACGCAGGAAGCACGGAAATAGTTATTCACACAGTGAAACGTTGAATTCAATTCATACGCACAACAAGGTCCTTTGGCTATGAGTGCAGTGCTGTATTATGAACCAAATACTCGTACGCGTCACTTTGACATGTACAACGAAACAATAAACGTCATTTGGTGTGTTGCTGATATTTTTATTGACTATTACGAATAGTTGTCCTCAATTTATAATGTTTGAAAATGTGCTACCAATGAAAAGCACATAACATTTTGCGCTAATTAATCATAACAATATGCACTTTTTGTTCATTTACACGTCAATAATCTTAATTCCTAGTTTTCAGTGTATCGGAGAGTGAGTTTGTTCCTCGAACAAGGAGGCATCGTAATTATAAAGCGTAAGCCGACCGAGGTGCAGCCACCACCGGCTAAGCACTGAGAGCTGACCCGGTGCTTGGCTTGGAGACGGGGGTGGGATTTCCCGATCTTTTCTGTCATTGGTTAATATTTTATTCTGTTGACATGTTTTCTTACTGCTAATGCTTCCGACACCTTCTTGTCCACCCCCTCTCCTTGAGCCTGGCCGGAGCTGTCAAAACCACGCCTATGGAGGCCCACAATTGGTCCAGAAAGCGTAAAATCAGCAATCAAGGGGGCTTGGTTCATTAGTGCTGGGATCAGAGCAGGAAGGGGATGTGAGATAGTTACAGTTGTACAGTGGACAGGGCAAGATCTAACCATTTCAACTCCGTGTCTGCGTAGAATGACTGTGCTTGAATGGACATCCGCATCGAAAGAGTAATCTTTTTATGAGAGCAACTGTTGGAGAACAGGAATCCCCAAATCTTCCTTCAAAGCGTCGTTGCGCTCACTTTGACTGATATTATTACAGGGACTTCGTGGAAACTAGCAGCTACGGGAGTTAAAGTGGAAGATCCTTACCACTGTCTTTGCTCGCCTTTTCGCGATTCACATTTTGCCGAATTTGCCTTGCTGCGCTTTTATTCCTCGTAGTGAGACAATCTATCGTCTGGATACGCGCTGCGTTTGCCAGAGAACACCACTAAATATATTTTTTTCACTACGATTGTTGGATGCACCGATGAGAGATCCAGTTTTTACAGGGACTGCGATGGCTTACCACCCTTTCCACGCTCACCGGCCGACCGACTTTCCCATGTCAGCTTTTCTCGCGGCCGCGCAGCCCTCCTTCTTCCCGGCGCTGACACTCACAAAGCCGATCCCGGACCATACCCTCGCCGGAGCCGCGGAGGCTGGGCTCCATCCGGCTCTGAGTCACCATCATCAGGCAGCTCATCTTCGCAGCCTTAAGAGCCTGGAGCCAGAGGAAGAGGTTGAAGACGATCCAAAAGTCACACTGGAAGCGAAGGATCTATGGGACCAGTTCCACAAATTTGGAACAGAAATGGTTATTACGAAATCTGGCAGGTGAGTTCATGGTTGCTCTATTTTTAGTCTGTTGTTTCAGTGTTAATACGAGGGAATGCTATGATGCACTCAGCGTTTCACATATACTCCACAATAAATTCGCCGTCTGTTGCACGGACGTTTCTGTCGACGGCTGTGTAGTACAGCAGGCCCAGTACATTCATTACTAAATCTGTCTTTTTCACATCGCTATCGTAAGCCATATCCCCTTTACTTCCCTATTAATGTCTTGCGCCCTGAACTGGCTGACCTAATTATTGTCAAAGAGACTGTAGAAATGAATGTCTTACTGTCAGAGCATGTGTATCTGAACGATTAATCTGCTCATTTGACTTATGAAAACGAAATGGTGAAAGTACAAGCGATGCGTATTCTATGGCTAGCAAAAGGAAAATAGCTGAGGGTTTTTGTTGCTTATATCAATATCAATACCAACAAATATTGACTTTCAAGGCACGTTGTGGCACAGTTAAATCGTGCTTTCATTTATTTCGTAAAGAGAAATGTTTCTCTTGGTCTGCTTATGTACTGAGGTGACAATAAACTATTTTATGTAAATAACCTGCCACTTTCATGGAAGATTTAAGTCTTGCGGCGAGCTAAATTATCTGCAGCCAAGTGAAATGTTAATATTTGTTGAACATGTATTTTTAGTGCGGTTGTTTTATTTCATAAATCTAGCTAAGGTAAACAGAACGTTTAAATATTAGTTGGTTGTGTTGTTAAAACGTTAAACTTGCATATGCCCACATTTGCGAAGAAAAAAGATTTTGATTTATGGACGTTTCCTTTTTTTTACAGGAGAATGTTTCCACCTTTTAAAGTCCGCATCAATGGACTCGATAAAAAAGCCAAGTATATTCTATTAATGGATATTGTGGCTGCCGACGACTGCCGCTACAAGTTCCACAACTCTCGCTGGATGGTCGCGGGGAAGGCCGACCCGGAGATGCCAAAGCGAATGTATATACATCCGGATAGCCCAGCTACTGGGGAACAATGGATGGCTAAGCCAGTTGCTTTTCATAAACTGAAGCTAACCAATAACATTTCGGACAAACACGGATTTGTAAGTAACCCATTTTTTTTTTTAAATAACCCGTTTTGTGTGTTGCATGTAGGCCTGCTGTAATTGCGTGTTGCTGTGTAATATATAAATATAAATGTACTGCCATCTGTGGGCTGTAATGCTTACGCTCGTAATGATTGGGCATGCTTACAATTTCGCTGTTTATTCCTGGGCGAAGAGAATTATGGATGTTCTAAAATATATATTTTAGCTTACTTAATTTCTTCGGCCCATGTACAATTCTTTGCTGTCGCTACATTAATTTCTTTCTTTGTTTCGGCAAGCTTATAAACTAGATATGAGGTATTAAGTCATAATTGTATTCGTTATGAATAATGATGACATTGATAGCTTGGTTATGTTGTAAATGCTTCATCCTGAGTTTTTTTTCTTGGCTACTCTTACTTCTATTGTTTATGATAGGCGCAGAGCGCTATAACTTTTATGAGGGGGTGGAAGTGACAAAAAATTAGGTCAAAGGAACCGGAGAGACCTTGAATCACGCTACAGTAAATGAGTTTACAAATAGCAACAGTGAAATTGTAATTTGGGCTGTTTTGAGTAAGCGCAGCAACAAACTACATAGGTAGAGCGACCTGTGCAGTCTCTGATAGTTCAATGAACAATGTTGAGACGGATGCAACTATGCTGACCAATACTCTATATGTGAGCATGCAGTCAAATATAGTGTGTGGCCTGCTCCCTTACGCGACTTGCAAACAAATCGACTGGAAACAAATGAAACATTTACATGCATGGCACAACCATTTGACATTTGTACAGTCAAACAGAAAATATATACATATATTTTTGTGTTGATCGTCACATTTTGTTGTTGTAAGGCTTCCTTAAACTGTACAATTAATAAACTCTTATTTAATTTGTGTTATAATGATAGCACCACCAAATAACTCATGTTGCATGTTCGCGTGACTGTTTTCTGTCTACCTGCCACTGGCACAGGCCTGTTGTTATGTGATTTAACCCAAGAACAATATTTCCACTATTACTACATATATTATGCGGTATTTATTGTCTAAAACGATTTGAAAGACTAATGACTTGAATGGATAATTATTTTGACAAGCACTAATGTTTTCCATTCCTCTTCCTCTCCTTCTCATTAGACCATTCTGAATTCAATGCATAAATACCAGCCCAGGTTCCATATTGTGAGAGCCAACGATATTCTGAAGCTTCCGTACAGCACTTTCAGGACATATGTTTTTCCTGAGACCGATTTTATTGCTGTCACAGCTTATCAAAACGACAAGGTATGTAGGCTACAAATATTTTAATGAATTAAGGCAACCGTGCTGTGGACCTTATATGTGCACTATATAATGTACAACTTTACAATGTTCGCATTTTTGCTTTTGTTCTGCATGCTCTGCATTTGATCGGATTTATAGCTTATGCTCACTTAACAAGAGGAGTAGTATTTATAGAAGTAGTAGGCTAGGCCTATTTTGAATATGTGGATGCAAAAGTGTATCTCTAAAGCATTTCACATTCCTCGTGTCCAGTGCTACTCATGTTAATTGTAGTCTGTGTCCGAGGGGCCTAGTGAGCTTGTCGGTATCGTAAAGTTTATGACATAGAGTCACAATCGATTAGCAGGCACTTAAGCTCGCCGGTTTGTCCGGGAGCTACACACTCTGAGGCTCAGCAATCAAAGCGTGTCAGTTGCTAAACGCAAAAAGCAGGCCATCTAGCTTAGCAATCTATGAACTTTAAGGCCATGGTTTCTCCTGAATTTATAGCCTACAGCGTCCAAATCACTTGGGCACAACGAAAATCGTTCTGTTACATCGCTCTGTATTTTCAGGGAACTTGTAAAAACGGGCAATGATTCAAACCACACTATTAATTATTGATAGCAGGTCGGCGTCACTCCTCTAGTTCGCCTCTCTTGTTCTCTCTGTTGTGCTGTAGAGAATACCAATTTGACAAATGGAAAATGTTTACTCGTGGAATTTTCTCAGGGGGGTCGTGATTTGATCTTTTTCATTAAACATTTTTAATAATTAAATTATCACGCTAAAGTAGTCTGTGTAGCGTGTTTAACGGTGTTGGGCTAATAACTGATGATCACACCACTTATAAGGGCTTTGCTTTTTATGCATTTAAATCTGAATATTTTACTTGAAGATTATGCATTCGTGCTGCATAACATTGATAACAATACCACTACTACGATGAATAACATTTTAATACTAATAGACTGCTGCTGTATAACTGTTTTAACAATATACAAACAAATTACGAATAATATAATATACGCATCCTTTTTTTTTTTGCTTTGCATTCAGATAACACAGCTGAAGATTGACCATAACCCCTTTGCCAAAGGCTTCAGAGACACAGGGAATGGAAGAAGGGAAAAAAGGTAGGTTTTGAAAACGTTATAGTTCACATGCATTACGCAATGAAAAATGGCCAAAGAGACTGGATTCAAAGCCTCGCAAAATGTTTAGATTTCAACGATTTTATTTATTATTTATTTTACTGTGTGTCGTGGGTCAACTTAGGTCATATTTCCTTTTTTCACTTTTTAATTTTTTTTAAGGAAACAACTGACCCTTCCATCATTACGCATGTATGAGGATCAATGTAAAGTGGACCGTGATGGCGCGGACTCTGATGCTTCCTCAAGCGAACCTACAACCGGCAGAGATGCTGGTCATTCACCTGGACCGGTTTCCAGCCCACTTAGATTTAACCGGAGCAGCAGAGGTAGGTCTAAATCTATGAATAAATGATATAGCTATGCTTCACGATCAATGAGAGGAAACATGCCTAAGTGTCATATCATTTACAAGCCGCTGTATTATGCCTTTAGCGTTTTTCAAGACTACTTTAATAATTGACAAAGTAATTTTAATAAAGCGTTTATCATGAAACAAATGTGCTGATAAAATCAATTCCTCAAACAAGGTATAAGATGAATCAGACTGGAGCAACACATAAGGCCTAGATTATAGCCTTGAATTACATTGTTATATTCACATTAGCTACGCCTGGATGTAGAAAACCGAACATTCAAAGCTAGTCCGTTTTTTAAAATGGGATCATTATTTATATTTTATCGCAATTATTTTCAGTTGTTATCATAGTTAGCCTACCACATATTATTTTAGCAATACATAGTATTATAAAGTAGCCTAGTATAAAATGTCGTCAGCTTGTCAAACGTTATGAAATTTACGATTGGAATTAGGCGACTCTAAAACGGTATTTGAACAAATTATAGCTATGTAAGTAGGCCACTGTATCCATTTTTGTTTTGTTTTGAACGTGGATAAAAAAAAATATTTTGTTGTCCCACCACAGACGAGAAAACATGCACTGACAGTGAGCACGAATTGGACCAACAAGACGAGCTGTGTGGTGGCTCCAACAGTCCTGGGCCAGAGCCTCCATCTCCATTCAGGTCGAAATGTGAGGACCGGGACCGGGACCGGGACCGGGACCGGGACCGGGAGAGGGAGAGGGAGAGGGAGAGGGAGAGGCCTGTTTTGGAGAAGAAAGACGATTATCCGGACTCCGGAAAATCAAGCGATTCCATATTTAGCATAAGAAACTTGGAGAAAGACAAACTAGAGAACAGGCAGAGGAAAGACACAGACTTGTCAAAGAAGGACACGGAAAACTGTGGTCTTAGCGGCAGTAAAGACAGCTTCTCTCCTCTAATGGTACAGACAGAGAGTCCTTCACATTTTGGGGCAGGGCACCTTCAGAGTTTGGCGTTTTCCGGCCTACACAGTCAACAGTTCTTTAACCCACTAAACACCGGACAACCTCTATTATTCCACCCCGGACAATTTGCAATGGCACCTGGAGCGTTTTCAGCCATGAGCATGGGACATCTATTGGCTTCAGTATCAGGAGCTAGTGGCCTGGAGAATGTAAGCCTGTCGGCCCAGGGAACTGGGAGCACCCCGAGTCCTTTCCCCTTTCATCTGTCTCAACACATGCTTGCCTCTCAGGTAAGGGAACTCTCGCCATTCAAATTTAAATCTAGGCCTATGCCATCATACGCCCTGTCTGGTTATGGAAGCACGTGAATAAAAACAGGCTATAGGTTACATCTAGCGATATACTTTTTGCAGAGATGCTTTTGATTTTGCTTGTATGTAAATCGCAATGGCTTTTTTGCATTACTTAGAAATATAAATATATAAACTGATTACAAAACTTTAGCTATTGAATAAAGTCAGATGTAGATTTAAAAATATCTCAAAGTGTTCTTGCAAACGCGTATTATTTCTTGAAAAAAAATGATTCGTGATAATAGTGACGTATTTTCGTTACATCTTTGTGTTTTTCAGTTGTCACAATCAGCAATAATTTACTGTTGCGTTTGTTTCTATGCGCCCTAAAAGTCAATAAATACGCCTGCCATTGAAATCGATGGACTGCGAACAGGTGGCACTAGTTAATCTGCGCAAATACTGGCTCTCTGAAAATTCGCCATGTAGCAGATCCTCACCTTTCAAACGGTTGCATGTTCGATGTGCTAAAAGTCGCTAACTAATGTCTCTTATTACAGGGCATTCCGATGCCAACCTTCGGTGGACTTTTTCCGTACCCCTACACCTACATGGCCGCGGCAGCTGCAGCGGCCTCCGCCCTTCCCGCGAACAGCAACACGGCCTCCTCGCTCTCAAGAAACCCGTTCTTGAGCAGCTCCACTCGCCCTCGACTGCGATTCAACCCTTACCAGCTCCCCGTGTCGATCCCTCAAAGCACAAACCTGCTCACCACCGGATTGCCAAGCGGCCTAAACCCCTCATCCGAATCGTCTAAATGCGGTAGCAGGGAATCGAGTCCTGTGCCTGATCACAAATCGGGGGCGAGTAAGAGAAACGGCTCACCTAAAACAACAATGAAGGAATCCATCAATGAACTTCAGAACATTCAGAGACTAGTGAGCGGCCTAGAGAGTCAGCGGGAGACTTCCTCACCTAGGGATTCGCCCAAGTGATCAAGCATCTCCAAACCTATCCAGGGCATGACTTGAATTGCCAGAGGATTTTATTAAGTGGTTCTCTGAGAGAAATTTCATTACGTACTGTTTTTGCGCATGGATGACTTGAGTGGAAAAAAGCAAACAGCAGTCAACAAGTAACAATTAATAAAAGAAAACGTTGGACTCGGTGCTCTTGATGGGAAAGATCTGCGTAGGAAGCGCTGCGAAGACAATCTATGGTGTAGCCTAATTGACTCTTTATAGAACATGCTGACAAGACCACACCACAGCAATCTATTTAAAAAAAAAGAAAAGAAAGAAAAAAAGGAATTTACAAATAAAATACTTTTTTTGCGTAACGTCAGTAGGACCACTGCTGGTTGCAATAGCGAAATGGTGATTCACATAAAACCTGTAGACTGAAAACATCCAAGCTACATCCAAAAAGGAAAATAAAAATAAAAAGGATATTTCAAAAGGGATTGACATGACAGTTGGACCGTTAGTTAGGTTAAATCCGACAGACAGTTGTACCTGAAATATTTAATGTAATTATTAATAAAAGAAACCTAATTCTGTAAATAAGCTACAAGGACCTAAGAATATGCAAATTGGTATTAATTTATTCAAAGCTGTACATTTGCGTGTACATAATATTTAGAGTTTAACTCATTGCATTTTTTTCTTTTTTCATTTTTCTCTATGGTTGTTGTAAATGAAAGCTATAGCGTTTGTTGTTTGGAGACAGAAGGTGTTCCTATCTGTGATGCGTTGCTGTTTAATCTGCCTGTGACACATAATGAAAGCGAGTGCCATCATTGCATTGTAGCAGTCGCTGTAAAAACACTTATCACGCTGCGGGACTCACAAGCTTTGGGAAGCCTCAGGTTAATGTACTCCAACAGAAGAGACCCACATTCCTCTTCTTGAGCTGAGTTTATATAAAGAAATATATGAACGTGTCCCGCTGGCTGTCCGGATTTTTCTGTTGTTGTTGTTGTTGTTGTAGGATTCTTTCACAATTTCAATAAAAAAAATCAACGTGTTTAAATATGCGTTATCTCAATTACAAGTTGCACACTTACTAATGACATATAATAAATGATTAGCTTAAGCGGAGTTACAACAGGTCACTGAAAATGTTTTTAGAACAACGACAAAATGATATAAAATACAATTCCTATGAAGAAGAAGAAGAAGAAGAGGGAAAAAATGCAATATTTGGATAACTGCAACGGCCAGTTTGTTTTAAATAGCAGCAAAATAGGTAAGCCACACCCTCACTATTTGTGATTACTGGTCACATGTAATAATAATAAACGTCATGTTTTGTAAGAAATAATATGTGGAAAATATTACGTAGAAATAGCCTACTTACAAATTCATCATGGTTTTTAAAGGGGTTTTCGAAAATGTAGCATAGCAGCCTATAGCCAAAGCAAAAGCTACTGCGCCCTCTGTCGTAGACTCATGTTCCGGATTATTTTACCCCTCATCAACATCAGTGTGATTTTAAGATAACGACCGCTACAACAGTAGCCTAGTTGTTTTATTAGGCCTTTATAGGTACCTGCAAACAATTTTGGTTGAGGTTTTTGTTTATTATTATTATTATTATTATTATTATTATTATTATTATAATAACATGAAAAAGAGTAGGCTATAGGCTACTATTGTTGTATAACAATAGGCCTACAACTGCAACACAGCCTACAGACCTAAAATATTACGATAGCATATTAAGAGCAATAGTAACACAATGCTATATTGCAGGCTACAATAATAATAAAAAATAATAATATATATGTGTGTGTGTGTGTGTAAAAAAATAATAATAAACTAAAAGTAGCCTAAATGTTAGGACCACATATTGCGAAACCAGAGCTTTGCGCAGTTAGCCAAACTATTTTTGTAGACAAAACGCAAACGCATTTTTGTGATATATTTATTATATGTAAATCCATAACAATGTGAAATGACAGTGTTAGCGTTTGTTTATTTTCTGTCAGATGATGACCCATAAAAAAGTGCTGAAGTGGCTTACTGTTGCTATGGTTACCTCCTCCGCGAACGCGGCTTATGTCGGGTCAATAAAAAAAAATGCACTGACAACTTACTACTTACAATCTAATTTATAAAGGCTAATCTAACTAATAATAATAATAATAATAATAATAATAGACTAATCATAATAATAGATAATATTAATAAATATACTACATCATTGTACAAAGACCAGAGGTCTAAATTTGAATCTTTTATCGTTTCCAGTGTTTCCTGCGGAGTACAATGCAATCTATTGTGTTGTTTTAAGCCTATTTATAGTCGTAGAACTGTATGATGACAATGTACGAGTATTTATAGACAAAGCTTGACTCGGAAGCAGAATTCCCTCGACTCTCCCCACCTCCTTTCCTTCATTCTCTTTCAGCGACCCAGATATGTTGTGCGCTTTTTGGCACCGACCATTAATGGTCCGAGCGCGCCCAGAACGTAGTCTAGGCTGTCGAGCCGTAATGAGTTGATAAGCTGCACAGCAGAGTAGAAATATTAGGGGGAAACTACTCTCATGTTATAGTGAAAGGGTTAAGTGCTGCGGATAGGAGGTTAGGGAGGATGAGAGTTTGGACGCCCAGCCACTTTGGCAGGAGACAGCCCTTTGTCCAGCAACCGGCGCCTGTCGCCTGCCTGCCGGCCATGCAGCTTCCCCTCACCCGCGTACAAAGGGACAGATCCCGAGAGTTACAGCTCCTAATTAGAGATCCCCCCCTTGTTTCTCTTCTTTTCTTTCTCTTGCTATAACCACAAGCCCTCGTTTTCATTAAGGGGCCATTGTTAAACGCTGTTATATTCAATTAACAGACCGAACAACGCAAGCTAACTCTTTGTCAAAACTAATCAGTCAATGACCAATCAATAGACTGCCATGACAAGCAATTACGGTTCTGGTACACGACAAAAACCAGCCAAGTGTTTACATATTTAACTTTAAGTCACCCAAATCTGAAAGTGAGAAGGACCGAATCTTAAGCACGCAGGATGAAAGTGACATTAAGCGTAGAAGCAAATTACTAGTTTCTTTTATATTAAGGGAAAAAACAGACAAAAGGACCATTGACAACGTCGGGTTTCTCACAGTCGTCTGGGTGAGTTTTTATCTGATCTGCAGAAGCTGAAACTGAACACTGAGAAGCTTGAAAATCTATGAAGGCACTGAGGGGTTGAAATGATTTGTTGCTGATATCATTCAATTCTACGAGCCCCAGAAATACAATGTAAAAAACAAAAAACAAAAAATAGCAAGAAAGACCCTTCATGCTTATTGCTATTTAAAATAATAACAGTACTGCATATTTTTTTTTAGCTCACATGCACTTTATCAATCTCTACTGGTTCATGTGAATTTTTTGAAGAACATACAGTCTGTCACACTTTTTCTTTTTTTACACAGGTTTATGTTAATGTATTTATATACTAATATTTGACAGTCAAAACATTTAAAATGATATAATAAATGTATATAAATAAAATTGATATACAGTATGACAAAAATAAAGGTGAGCAAACATGTCATATAACATTGATTTTAAACACACAGTTCAGAATGTTCTTAAATTAGAATATGTGTTGTAAATGTAAAAATTCCAGTGTCATATTTTTGACACGTGTTAGGGTAAACAAGTGAACAAAATAAAACCACACTGGGATACATTCAGGCAATGACCAACTACACAATGAATGTGCATTTCAACTTAAAGGAAAAGTATTTTCATAAATGTCACGCATATTTTAAATATTTAAATTTGTACAGTTTATGAAGTACAGCATTTGCTAGCCAAAACAATGGTTCAATATTTCTTTTACATTTGTTGCTGGATTGTTTCACTTTCAACGAAAAGCCTGTAATATGCTGTTTAATGATGACATCTTACCCCGTATAGAGTGACAACACTATCTGTCTGTATGTTCAATGAAATGTACCTTTTTGTTTTCTAGGCGATAACAGTGAAAATGTAAACAAGCATTACTGTAGCCAAGACAAGAAGAAAGAGACTTTCAAAAAAATTAATTACCCTGATAAAATATTCAATGCAGTAAAAATGTGACAGCTAACACCGGTCCTGACAAGCTATAAAGTTTTATTCCTTCTCTGAAAGTGGGTGGTGAGGAGCAGTTGGTTTCATAATGTATCAGGTAAGACAAAGTGATATGATGGATTTTTAATATATTACAGTGCTCAAGACAAACATGTAATTCTCTTCACACCTCCTTGTTAAAGCGTTCAAGCTTGAGTGAAGCTGTCAGAATCTGTGTAGATCCTGGAGAGGAGCCTCATTCTCACACAGGTTGTGCATTTAGAAAGGCTGATGATGGGTTTCTCTGTTCTCATGTATTCTTTCAGTGCATTTCAAAGGCATGCTGAAAACACATATAATTTTTTGATAAATCAGAATAAATCAAATCTGAACAAGGGATCCATCGCCACCTTCTGGACATATTAATGAATATAAGCAATTGGTAACATTTAATGTCTACGTTTATGTTATTGGTGCATGCAATTCATGATAAAAGTTAGAGATATCACAAATTTAGTGGAAATTACAAGGGCATGTAGCTGAGAATACTAGATGAAAACAATACACAAGTACAAATCCAAATAATAATTTTGTATGTATTAAAAGTCCAAAAGATCAATAGGAAGAAATCGCAAAGCTTTTAACTTTCCGTGTAAAAAGAAAACAAAAAATACTTTTAGTTGAAGGAATAGTTGATTTAGTTGATTCCTATCGTGTTTCTAAAAATGTATTATATAAGACCCAACACTAATTTATCATATTGGCCTTAATATCATTCTAACCTTCGGTTTTTTTTTTTTTTAGCTGTGAAAAATTTAGTAATGTGAAGTTACATATCGTCCAATGAACACAAACCACAAAAGGCCTTCCTCTGTATCCAGTGGGTTGTCACCATGTAGAAAAAACAAATCCGCTCACCATTTATGCAGTACATTAAACCACCACTAGGTGTCGCAATAACCTTCTAACTTTCCCTTCATTTCTGTGCAAATCAAACAACTCTGCCTCATAATATTTGTTTTTTTTACCAACTCTAACCTGAAACGATTGTAAATACTTACGAAAGCACTCAAAATTCACGCCTCTAATGGTACAAAATCCAAGTTCACGATTGCTTAAAAGAAAAGATGCACACTAATGAGTGAACCCCACCTGAGAAGCATTCAAACATAAAAAAATAAGATTTTAGAAAGAATGCAATATCAAATTTAGCTTCTTAGTTTAATTTATACGATAAAATATTCAACACAAGATAGAAATAGGACCAACTGATATTATTTTTGAAATTCAGACTGCAAACAATAAAATAAAGACTTTTCTGTTGAATGTCTCAGTGCTGTTCCAGGTAAAAGAAAGAGATAAATTAATATCACCATTAAGTCACCAGAGT